CGTTCTCTGTCAGTTTTCTCACTCCATTTGGTGCTTGGTTGAGTTCTTTATCTCTTCATTTGATGTTTTAGGGTTTCAGGATTGTTGTATTCTCTGTTCAGCTTAGTTTTTCGGATCTTTGCTGTGGATGGATGGCGTGGTGCTTCTGCCTAGAGCGCCGTTTTGCCGGAACTCCAGATTACTCATTCTTGAAAGTAATGGCAAAAGTAGAGGATCTATGTGTTTGTTTGTACCCATGCTTATTCTAAAAATATTAGAAACAAAGTAGATGGGTTACTTACGTTGATAATATGGGTTTTAGATCAAGGTGAACTGAGGGGAATGATGGGGAAAACCTGGTTTTCTTACTGCAAAGTGCCCTCTTAACTTGAGCTGTGGGCTTGCTGCCATCTTCCGGGGGGAGCTTTTTTCATCTCCTAGTTGAATAATATGTGGGGGCTGATGATCTTTTCAATTTCTGTCTCTTAGTGTTGATATCAAATAAGCATTTTCCAATAATATCCAGTCAATCCATTTAGGTTCTTGTATCCTAGTGAAAAATAGTTTGCCTCAATAATAGTCTGTACATGTAAGTGTTCAAGCTTTTAGTATGTAGTAGGTCTTAATATAAGTATTACTGTATGTCTTAAGTAATATTTTACCTTAAAGCTCTATTTAGACTAAAACTTGTGCTACTTTTTTTTTTTTTTTAGGACAGCCAGTAGAGGGGACTTCATGTTTTCTGCGGATCGTTTGGTAGGTGGAGGCTTTCCATTTTCATTTCATTGTTGCACCTGGTACAAAAGGCCAAGGGCTTTTTTGTTCTAGAGCATTCTGGGAGTGAGAGAGATTATACCAAATAACTATTATCTTGTTAGGCTTCTGAGGTGTTGTTTCCACTGCTGACTAAACCTCTGTGTCAATATCCTTTCATCCCAAACCATTGCCCATGAACTCATTCCCTATAGTCCTCAGGTACCACTACTTCTCAAAATGGTTCTTTGTAATTTGTTCCTCAGCAACCTTTAAATGCCTCATCTTAGGGCAATGAAGTGAAGTATGCATTAAAAGAAAAGCAAGGATGTAAAGAGACTAGTGGTTAACCTTTGTGGTATCCAGTAATGCATAACGACTAACATTTTCTTGTAGTTTATATGAAAACAAACGAACAAACAAAAAAACACTTTGCCGTCAAGTCAATTCCGACTCATAGCCACCCTATAGGACAGAGTAGAACTGCCCCATAGGGTTTCCAAAGAGCAGCTGGTGGATTCAAACTGCCAACCTTTTGGTTAGCAGCTGAGTTCTTAACCACTGCCCCACCAGTTTACATGAAGGTATTTTTAAATTGCCTATTCTTTTCTGTACTATCCTCACATATGAAATACTAAGTTGGACTGTCTGCGCTTTCCTCAGGGACTTCTTATTAGAATTGACCAAGCCCAATTCTGTTTAACTAGTATAATCTGAGAAGATCTCAGGCCAAATTGGCTTTTCTTCAGGGTAAGCACTGTGTTTCTTTTGTTTATATTTAATCATCATGCTCAGTGCTTGGGATGAGGTTGACACATTTTCTGCTGTGGTTATTGGTGTTCATTCATTCATGAAGTATATACTAAAATCACGTGTGTCAGGCACTTGCTAGGCTGTGTTCAGGGGAAGGGGGTACAGCAGTGAAGACTATAGACATGGTTCTGGCCTTTGTGGAGCATACAATCTAAATACTGTTGCCAGTATTTAGTTTGGGAAGGAAAGAGATGTGGTTTATTAACCTCTCGTTATAATCAGAGAGTAGAAGATAGGTTATTAAAGGGAATGTAAGAAAAACTTTTAATTTAGCTTTTACTTGGGGAATTTATTCTAAAAGAGCGTAGACAACCCCATTCTACTTTTGGCATTAAATATTCTTGGTTCAGAGACCAATTTATTTAAAATTATTTGAGCCTCCAGGGCACTAATATACCTTGGATTATACCAAGATAAATGTAGTTGACTTTCTTGGGGTAATAGGTCATTCTGTCTTATATGCTTTTATGAAACCAAAGAACAGATTCAGGGAGGAAGGAACTTGTGACTTAATAGATTCTGGGGAGAGAAGAGGGATCTTGGTGGCCACTGGTAGAAAATGTATCCTCTTTCTTTCTTTTGCTTTCCTTGTGGGCTTTTTCTACAGAAAGTATGAGTTAGGTTCATGCCTATTGTAAAATTCTTCCCTGAAAGGGCGGGCATTATACCTTAGTCAAATAAGATAATAAGGACCTAGGGCATAATTTAGCTGAAGGAATGGTAATTTGGATCTCTCTGTTCTTTGCAGTTAGCTCTGAGGATTCTGGTATTTTGTGTGGGGGGAGGGAGTAGATGGTCCTTTGTGGTGGGAGTAGGGATTGGAGCTGTTTAGGTTTCCATTGTTGAGGATTTCTAGTACACTATCTCATCTAGCACAAGAATCCCATTATAATTGACTTTAATTTTATCCTAAATTTGCCAGGGTTGGCTTCCCTGGCCCTCGGATCCTTAGGTTCTCTACCTTTTAGTCACTCTTTTTCTGGTTTTTTATGTTTTCCTGTAAGGCTTGCATATATTATCATTTCTGTCCCAGGGTTGCAGGGGATGGGGTGGGAGATAAAGACTCCTGGAGGAGTGTTTCTAGGTGGAGGCAATCTAAGCTCTTTAAAGAAAAGAATCCTCTTCTACACTTGTAATTTGCTAATAAGAGATATATATCTCCACAGAAGATGGTGGCTAGAGATGAGTGTGCACACGCTTGTGCACACACGTAGTCATGAGGTTCTTGGGCCCTCTGTCTGTTGCTGTGGGCTGACAGAGTGCTGAACCATTTAGCACTGATCCTTTTTAATTGCAGCAGAGTGTTGTGTTGTGATAACAGAGCGTTGGGCCTGGCAATTCTCCCTGCTGTTCCTGATTCTCAATCAATAATGTAATGTTGATTGGGGAAAATGTGCATTGTATTAGGTTCTGGTTGCTTATAGAAATACCGTATCTGGTTTTTGAAGGCTGTTCTTAGTAGTTCTGAGTGATTCTTTCCTCTGTACCATATATCAAGATTGTTGGGAGCCTTTTCTTTAACTGAGAAGCTCCAGTGCATTAGACTGGATCCTACTTAAAGCTCAGTAAATTGGTTCAGCCTATCTGCTAATTTAAATAGGAAGTTTTAGGCTTTATTTACATTGTGGTGGTCCTTTATTAAAAAAGAATCCAGCTTAGCAACTTCAAAGGTACTGAACAAGGCCGAGCAGTTCCCAATGAACACTATTTCCAGAGTAACCAGGAGTATATTACTTCCAAGGGTGCCTGTCATGACTATTGCCACTTGTAATTTTGCATGTCTCATAATATAGCCTAGATGAAGTGAATGAGAATCAGAAGGCATACTTCAATATTTTAGTGGTTATTATGTGCCTAAAAGAGGGTGGATACCTAGCAGCAAGCAGCCTGGCATTTGGAGAATCCCTGCATCTAACAAGTGATGGGGAGCCACTTCCTACCTCCAAAAGCTGAAGTTTTGCCTAGCATGCTACTGACTCTCTACCTAGTGTTCAGCTCATGAGACTAACAGCTAACAAGAGGTTCTCAGCAGGTTCTCAACTTATTCTTTTTTTGATTCTCTAGATCAGACTTGTTGTGGAAGAGGGATTGAATCAGCTGCCATATAAAGAATGCATGGTAACCACTCCAACAGGTAACCAGGGCCATTACTCTCATATTTTCCTCATAAGTATTCTGAGATGGACTTGGGGGAAAATGGAAAGAAAGCAGTCTGATTAAAATCAATATGCAAAATGAGGAGTCTAGGTGGAGCTATTCTTGTTAACATCTTAATAAACTTGGAAACATTTAGTAAAGAAATATATGTGGGTGACTTCTTGTTAATGGCTTGCTTGTCAATTCAAGTTAAAGGTTAATTAATATTCTTCAGCATACAGGTATTTCCTGTTATGATGGTCCATTGGGATCAGAGTTAAGAATTGCTGGCAGCTTATCGTCCTCTGTGGGGAAGCTGCTGGTGTTAATAAATGATTTGGCATTGAAACTCCAGGTAAAAGGATGAGACCTCAAACAAACACAACACAACACAACACAACAAAGAAAAGCAATAAGAATTGGAAAAGGTGCTTTGTTTTACTATTTAAAAGAAAGCAGCCAAAGATCCATGTATCAGTCTTGAAGTTCTGATTTGGTTCTTTAGTAAATAGTGGAAAATTGTTCTATTCAGAGGGTTGACTTTATGAAAATTGAGGGTTGAGCTTGTTGCATTATAATTGACACAAATTCAGGATGAGACCAAGGTTTCAGCATGTCTTGGTAACTGCTTCAGCTTCTCTGCTTTTAAGGAAGAATCAAGGCTCATAAAAAGGGATGAAATGAGGAGGCTTTCTGCTGTGGGTCACAGTTGGGTTCCATTTTGAATTGATGGGAATTACAGCATTCTCTGAGTGCAGTGATTCTCTTCTGAATTCAACTTGAGAAATGTGTATGAATATCATGCTATAATAATACCTGTTCTCACTTGATGAAGCCTGCCTTTCCCAATTTATCTCCACAAGTTTTTATGAAGAATTAAGAAATATGAAAAAAGCATGACTAATTTCATTACTTTCACAGGGAACCTAAGGTGTTATAGTGTGTCTGGAGAAGAGTTGCTCTGTACCCATCTGATTTAAACTATAGGCACCTTTTAAAATAAGTAGGTTGCTCCAGTGATGAAAGATAAATTCTTTGGTTTTATTCCTCCTCAACAGGGTACAAATATGAAGGAGTGAAATTTGAGAAGGGAAATTGCGGGGTCAGCATAATGAGAAGCGGTAGGTTTGCATGTTTCCATTTTGTCTTTTTTCATGCATAGAAACAGTTGCTGTTTTTCAGAAGGAAGGTGTGCTTGTTTGTCATAATTGCAGCCTGTTTTAGCTTATATCTCACCACCTGTGTTGTCTATCCTCCTGGTGCCTTGTAGTCATGGCTGTTGTGTTGCTGAGTTTAGCTAATTTTAACTGTAGAGCATCTTCTCTAGTGGCATGCCTCCATGACAAGCCAACTTTTAAAGTGATTCAGGGGAGGGTATGCTGGAAAGAGATGAATTCTTTTTTTAATGTATAAAAATTCCTTTTTCTCTTCTGGCTATGAGGTTATATTTGTGAACAGTTGAATACTTCCAATAAAATAGGAACTTTAAGGTTGTTTGTTTTTTTTTTAGGAGACCTCTCTTAAGCAGTGGTAGGATTCTCAGGACAATGTTGTTCAATCTTTTAAAATTGGTGAATAGAGATGGACTTTTCACCCAGCAAAATGTTTTCAAGGTTCGGCTCCTTTCCAAAGGCAGGTTTTCCCTAAGTGTGGTTCTTGCACTCCTAGGGCATACCAAATGACTTGGAGTGATGCACAGACAGAATTGTTTTTAACTTTAATATTTATTTGTTGATTTTCATATATATTAGAAAGAAAATGGTTTTTTATGTTTACAGTAATGATATAAAATTTATTGAAAATATTAAGTAATAATAATATAGGTAGAATTCTGATATAGCCTAAAATCTTGAAGATGGTATGAGAATGGCTGACTTTTGGAAAATACTTCCTGAAAGAAATTCAGACTCAAAAATAGCTCTGTGTTCACAGAAACCAAGGGGGGTCATGGTAGTGCTTCTCCAGCCGGGGTTGTTATTGTTGTTAGGTGCCATTGAGTCAGTTCCGACTCATATCGACCCAATGCACAAAAAAACGAAACGCTGCCTGCTCCTGTACTATCTTGACAATTGTTGCTATGCTTAAGCCCATTGTTGCAGCCACTGTGTCAGTTCATCTCATTGAGGGTCTTCCTCTTTTTTGCCGACCCTCTGCTTTACTGAGCATGATGTCCTTCTCCAGGGACTGCTCCCTCCTGATAACATGTCCAAAGTACGTGAGATGAAGTCTCCCCATCCTTGCTTCTAAGGAGCATTCTGGCTGTACTTCTTCCAAAACTGATTTGTTCATTCTTCTGGCAGTCCATGGTATATTCAATATTTTTTGCCAACACCATAATTCAAAGGCATCGATTTTTCTTTGGTCTTCCTTATTCATTGTCCAGCTTTCGCATGCATATGAGGCGATTGAAGATACCATGGCTTGGGTCAGGTGCATCTTTGTCCTCAAAGTGACATCTTTGCTTTTCAACACTTCAAAGAGGTCTTTTGCAGCAGATTTGCCCAATGCAATGCGTCTTTTGATTTCTTGACTGCTGCTTCCATGGGTGTTGATTGTGGATCCAAGTAAAATGAAATCCTTGACAACTTCAATCTTTTCTCCGTTTATCGTGATGTTGCTTATTGGTCCACTTGTGAGGATTTTTGTTTTATGTTGAGGTGTAATCCATACTGAAGGCTGTAGTCTTTGATCTTCATCAGTAAGTGCTTCATGTCCTCTTCACTTTCAGCAGGGAAAGTTGTGTCATCTGCATAATGCAGGTTGTTAATGAGTCTTCCTCCAATCCTGATGCCGCATTCTTCTTCATATACTCCAGCTTCTCAGATTATTTGTTCAGCATACAGGTTGAATAAGTATGGTAAAAGGATACAACCCTGGTGCACACCTTTCTTGCTTATAAACCACGCAGTATCCCCTTGTTCTGTTTGAACAACTGCCTCTTGGCCTATGTACAGGTTCCGCATGAGCACAATTAAGTGTTCTGGAATTCCCATTCTTCGCAATGTTATCCATAATTTGTCGTGATCCACACAGTCGAATGCCTTTGCATAGTCAATAAAACACAGGTACAACTCTTTCTGGTATTCTCTGCTTTCGACCAAGATCCATTTGACATCAGCAGTGATATCCCTCGTTCCACGTCCTGTTCTGAATCCCACTTAATTTCTGTCAGTTCCCTGTTGATGTACTGCTGCCACCATTTTAAAATGATCTTCACCAAAATTCTGCTTGTTTGTGATATTAATGATATTGTTCGATAATTTTCGCATTCTGTTGGATCACCTTTGTTTGGAATGGGCACAAATATGGATCTCTTCCAATCAGTTGGCCAGGCTACTGTCCTCCAAATTTTTTGGCATAGACGAATGAGCACCTACAGCGCTGGATCCATTTGTTGAAACATCTCAATTGGTATTCTGTCAGTTCCTGGAGCCTTGTTTTTTGCCAATGCCTTCACTGCGGCTTAGACTTCTTCCTTCAATACCATCGGTTCTTGATTATATGCTACATCCTGGAATGGTTGAATGTCAACCAATTCTTTTTGGTACAGTGACTCTGTGTATTCCTTCCATCTTCTTTTGATGCTTCCTGAGTCGTTCAGTATTTTCCCAGTAGAATCTTTCAGTGTTGCAACTCGAGGCTTGAATTTTTTTCTTCAGTTCTTTCAGCTTGAGAAATGCTGAGCATGTTCTTTCCTTTTGATTTTTTAACTCCAGGTGTTTGCACATTTCGTTATAATACTTTATCTTTGAAGTCTTCTCTTCAGCTCTTTTACTTCATCATTTCTTCCCTTCTCTTTAGCTACTCTACATTTGAGAGCAAGTTTCAGAGTCTCTTTTCACATTCATTTTGGTCTTTTCTTACTTTCCTTTCTTTTTAATGACCTCTTTATTTCTTCATGTATGATGTCCTTGATGTCATTCCATAACTCTTCTGCTCTTCAGTCATTAGTGTGCAGTGTGTCAAATCCATTGAGACAGTCTCTAAATTCAGGTGTGATATACTCAAAGATCATATTTTGGCTCTTGTGGACTTGCTGTAATTTTCTTCATCTTCAACTTGAACTTGCGTGTGAGCAATTGATCTGTTCCACAGTTGGTCCTGGCTTGTTCTGACTGATGATATTGAGCTTTTCCATCATCTCTTTGCACAGATGTAGTCAATTTGATTCATGTGCATTCCATCTGGTGAGGTCCACGGGTATAGTAGCAGTTTATGTTGTTGAAAAAAGGTATTTGCAATAAAGAAGTGCTGGATCCATTTATTGAAACATCTCAACTGGTGTTCCGTCAGTTCCTGGAGCCTTGTTTTCTGCCAGTGCCTTCAGTGCAGCTTGGACTTCTTCCTTCAATACCATCGATTCTTGATTATATGCTACATCCTGAAATGGTTGAGCATCAACCAGTTCTTTTTGGTACAGTGACTCTGTGTATTCCTTCCATCTTCTTCTGATACTTCAGAATTCTGTCATGTGATCTCCTGCGTTGTTTCCATCACCAAGGCCATATTTTCCAACTACCAATCCTTTTTTGTTTCTAGCTTTCACATTCCAATCACCAGTAATTATCAGTGCATCTTGATTGCATGTTTGATCAATTTCACACTGCAGACTTAATAAAAATCTTCAATTTCTTTATCTTTGGACTTATCGATTGTGCGTAAATTTGAATAATAGTTGTATTAACTGGTCTTCCTTGTAGGCATATGGATATTATCCTATCACCAGACAGTGTTGTACTTCAGGATAGATCTTGAAATTTCTTTTTGATGATGAATGTGACACCATTCCTCTTCAATTTGTCATTCCTGGTATAGTAGACTTTATGATTGTCCAATTCAAAATGGCCAATACCAGTTCATTTCAGCTCACTGATGCCTGGGATATCAATCTTTATTTCATTTTGACGACTTCCAATTTTCCTAGATTCATACTTTGTACATTCCACATTCTGATTATTAATGAATGTTGGCAGTTGTTTCTTCCCATTTTGAGTCGTGCCACATCAGCAAGTGAGGATCCCAGAAGCTTGACTCCATCCATGTCATTAAGGTTGACTCTACTCTGAGGAGGCAGCTCTTCCCCAGTGGTAATTTGAGTGTCTTCCAACCTGAAGGCTCATCTTCCGGCACGATATCAGACAGTGTTGTGCTGCTATTCATAATGTTTTTATTGGCCAATTTTTTCAGAAATAGGCTGCCAGGTCCTTCTTCCTAGTCTTTCTTAGTCTGGAAGCTCTGCTGAAAACTGTCCACCATGGATGACCCTGCTTATATTTGAAATACCAGTGGCATAGCTTCCAGCATCACAGCAACACGCAAACCACCACAGTACAAACTACACCCTGGGTGGGGGAAACTATATACTACTTTTTCACTGTTTGCCTGCAAAGCCTCTGTCATTGAACTCAGTGCTGAATTAAGGTATGTCTTCTGATGCCACCTTGATCTAAAAGATCCTTTGGTCTTCAACCCCCATTCTTTCATAAATCTTTTATATTTTTTTCAGATTAAATGGATGTGGTCACATAAGTTGAGTCCCAAGTTTAGACAGTTTAAAGGCTTCTTCAAAATATAGAATAAAAGTATGCCTGATATTAAACAGCTCAGCAGTAGCTTACCAAACCATTTTATTTTCTGTAATCATGGAGGCATGGCAACTTTAATCCTGGAAGCCAGCAATAAAACTAGCTTACCCTAGTTTCATGGACCAGCCCTTACCCTAATGTATGACGAGCCCTAAATATAAAATATGAATACATCAGAAGTAAAAGCTGTTGACTTTAAGAAGAATTTCTTCCTTCTTGACAATGCCCTTTTTATTAATAGTCGTGAAGTCTGTTTTGTCCTATTCTTGGACTTTCACTCTATCTCCCTTCAACCCTTTTTTACTTCTTTTTTTTATTGTTGTACTTTAAGTAAAAGTTTACAATTCAAGTTAGTCTCTCATACAAAAATTTATACATACATTGTTATGTGACCCAAGTTGCTCTCCCTATACTGTGACAGCACGCTTCTTTTACTTCTTTTTTATTTTCTTCTTTAAGGTGAGGCAATGGAGCAAGGTTTACGAGACTGCTGTAGATCCATAAGAATTGGAAAGATCCTGATTCAGAGTGATGAGGAAACACAAAGAGCCAAAGTATATTATGCCAAGTTCCCCCCAGACATTTACCGGAGAAAAGTCCTTCTGATGTATCCAATTCTGAGTGAGTGGCTTGAATTTGAAATTTGTAACCTTTTGGTTAGGGTTTAAATTCAACTTAGTGTCTGCCTCCTAAGTACCCTTATATACAGGTAAAAACAGTTTCTAAATATATTTGTTTTTCTCAGTTGGATTTGGAGTTACTGGGGAATTTTTATTGTATGATAAGAAAATGTACATTAGTCAAACTTTATTAGCTCCAAATAGCTTCTATCTTGAACACATAGAAGCAAAAGATTTCTTGTGGATTGAATTGTGTCCCCTCAAAATATGTATTGAAGTCCTGGCCGCTGTATCTGTGGATGTGATCCTGTGGAAATAGGAGTTTTCTTTTTTTATGTTAATGAGTCATACCAGAGTAGGATGGGTCCTGAACCTAATCCCTTATGAGTAGTCGCTTATAAAAAGGGAAAGTGAACATGGAGAGTGACACATAGGGAGAAGACCAACACCAAGTGATGATAGAGGCAGATGCATCTACAAGTCCAGGAATACCAAGGATTGCCAGCAGCTAGTGGAAGCTGAAAGAGACAAAGAAGGACCTTTCCTTAGAGCTGACAGCCTGAATTCAGACTTCTAGCCTTCTGAACTGTGAGAAAATAAATTTCTGTTCTTTAAAGCCACCCACTTGTGGTATTCTGTTATGGCAGCACTACGTAACTGTGATGGTTAAGATTGTGTGTCAACTTGGCTAGGCCATGATTCTCAGTGTTTTGGCAGTCATATAATGTTGTGATTACTTCCCTGTTGAGATCTGATACGTGATCACCCACATGATGAGATCTACTGTGAGTAGCCAGTCAGTGGCCTGCATCAAGTGTGGGCAGACGTTCAGGCAGGGCTCGGGGGCTTTTGCTCATTCTGGATCCTGCAGCTGGCTCCTGTTCGTCTGACCTCTGGTTCTTGGGACTTGAGCTAGCAGCTTACCTGTGGTCTTGCCTTCCAATCTTGGGATTCGTTGATCTTCACAGCCTGTGAGCAAAAGCCCTGCTCTCCGGCCTGCCAGTCTTGGGTTCGCCAGCCCCTGCATCTACGTGAATCAGGAGAAGCCTCTTTCCTGACCCACAGACTTGGGACATTACAGCCTCTACAACCACATGAGCCATTTCCTTGGTATAAATCTCTCTCTCTATATATATATATATATTTGTACACTTTACTGGTTTTGCTTCTCTAGAGAACCCAGCCTAAGACGGTAACTAAGACAGTATTTGGTACCAGGGAGTGGGGATGCTGCTCTAACAAATACCAAAAGCGTTGAAGTTGTTTTGGAATTGGATAATTGGCAGAGGCTGGAAGAATTTTGATGCACTTGGTAGTAAGAGCCTAGACTGCCTTGAAGAGACTTTTGGTAGAATTTTGGATATTAAGGGACATTCTAAGGAGGGATCAGAAAGAATGAGAGCTGTGAGGAAAGCTCCTGTTATCATGAACACAGTGTTGCTAGAAATGTGGGCATTAAATGTGCTTCTGGTGAGTTTTTAAAAGGATATGATGAACATGTTTTTTAACACTGGAATAAAGGTGATCCTTGTTATAAAGTAAAAAAAAACTTGTCTGCAGTATTAGAATGTTTTGCTGAAAGTAGAACTTGTAAGTGATGAATATTTAGCTAAGGAGATTTCTAAGCAAAATCTTGGAGATGCAGTGTGGTTTCTCCAGTTGCTTATAGTAAAATACGGGAGGAAAGAGATAGACTGAGAAATGAAGTGTGCGAAAAAAAACCCCAAACTTTAAGATTTAGAAAATTCTATTGCGAAAACTAAGAGAACATGCCTTGGAAAGGACACTAAGGCTTTGGCAACACAACCATTTGCTAAAGAGATTAGGTCTGTGAGCAATGGATCTAATCAACCATCTCAGCAGAAACCCTGTCATCTTAGATTGAAAGGGACAGAGACAGGATAAAATGAATTAAAGCTGTCTGTCTCTTAGAGTTCTATAGGCAGGAAACAGGCCAATGGAGCTGTTTTGTTGCAAACATCTGTTGTCCTTCAAAAAAAGGAAGGGACTATCCCAGGAGCAGTTCAGAGACCAGCAGAACTGTCCAAAGGAGCATGGGGGACAGGGCCTCTATTTCCTTGATTTTATAGAGTGGAGCCACTGTGCCCTAGATTTTAAAGTGTTTCAGAGTGGGTTTGCTGCCAGCTTGTTTCTGGATGGTGGGCCTGCCATTCCAATAGGCCAAGAGAATGGGCTGTTGCCCAAAGTTGAGAGGGCAGGGCTGCTGTGCCAATGGGTCAAGAGACATAGCCACCTAGGGCTGAGGGATTGGGGTCACTGCTCCAGTGGGCCAGAAGAATGGTGCCTCCCAAAACTAAGGGCACAAGGATGCCATTTCAGTGAGCTGACACCCAGGGCTGAGGGGCTGCCCTGTCCGGGATCTGGAGTTTGAGGCCAGTACCCTGAGTTTGGAGGATGGGGCCATTGCCCAGATGTGCCTGGAAAACAGAAGATTAGTTTCAGAACTTGAAAGCTAACGCAATTTTCCCTGCTGGGATTTCGACTTGCTTGGTACCCGTGACACCTTCTTTGCCTCCAGTTTCTCTCTTTTGGAATGGAAATGTCTACCTATTCATGTCCCACCATTTTATTTTGGAAGCAGATAACTTGTATTTTAGTTTTCACAGGTCCACAGATGGAAAAGAATTTTGCCCCAGGACAGAACACACCTGGAATCTCACCCATACTTGATTTAGATGATTCAGAAGATAAGATTTTGGAATTAGAATTGATGTTGGAATGGGTTAAGACTCTTGGTGATGATATGATAGGGTAAATGTGTTTTTCATGTGAGAAGGACATGGATTTTGGGGGGCCGAAGGGTGGCCCCTATAATTTTGTGTACCCTAAAAATATGTATTAAAGCCCTGGCCCCTGTACCAGTGAATGTGATCCTGTTCAGAAATAGCGTATTCTTTTGTTATATTAATAAGATCATACTAGAGTTGCATGGGTCCTGAAACTAATTATTTCTGAGTTATAAAAAGAGTGGAATAGACACAGAGACACATACACAAGGGGAAGACAGATGCCAGGGAACACCAAAGAACACCAAGGAACTCATGGGACTGCTGACAAAGACTAGAGCCATGCCCTGAATTCGGACTTTTAGCCTCCAGAACTGTGTCCAAACTGTGCTTTAAAGCCATCCACTTGTGGCATTTCTGTTATGGCAGCACTAGGTAACTAAGACAGAATTTAGTGATATATAGAACACAGAACATTGACCCCTCTGGAGCCCAATGAGTACAGCAGTGATTTTCTCAAGGATTTATTCTCTCTTGAGGTCGTATTTTTTTTTCCTGTTTCCTAAGCTTACTCAGATCATACATGGCATAGTCCCAAGAGGGGATTTAAATTTGATATTTCAAATATTGCATGAATTTAGGGCATGTCATGTATTTGATAACTGCAAAGTGTATGTGTCATATCCATTACTGAAAATAACATCGTTGATAAAGAATGTTGTTGTTAGGTACCATCGAGTTGATTCCAATTCATAGTGACCCCATGTGACAGAGTAGAACTGCCCCATAGGGTTTCCTAGGCTGTAATCTTTACAGGAGCAGATTGTCAGGTCTTTCTCCCATGGAGCTGTTGGGTGGATTCAAACTGCCAACCTTTGATTAGCAGCCAAGCACTTAACTGTTGAGCCACCAGGGCTCCGTTGATAAAAAGAATAGGTACCTTCAAATGAAGCTTTGCCTTGTGGTGTCTTATGTTAGATTGCTGAACTGCCCTTACTTTAAAGACTTTTTGAGATTAATGTTAAAGTTGCTACTAATGCATTTGGTTGTCATTTGATTTCAGGCACTGGAAATACTGTAATTGAAGCTGTAAAGGTTCTTATAGAACATGGAGTTCAACCCAGTGTTATCATCCTACTCAGTCTGTTCTCCACTCCTCATGGTGAGTTCAGCATGGGGCAGTAACTGGGATTCCAGATGGTTGTGGAATGGTTAAGTCTGCATCTGTCTAACCTCTCATTTGGAAAAAAAAAGTTTATTTAATCTCAAATTAAATACAAATATTATTTTGGTAGTTATAACTTAAATTTGTCATTTCTAGGCTTGGTGATAATATTTTACAGCATTCTGATGTTGTTCAAATTCAAATGGAGAAGTACGAATTAACCCCGTTGAAAGAAATTACAATTGTTTTCTTGGTGACCCAGTTTGGGTAGAGCATGAAAATGGCTGAAATCCCCTTATTTCCCTTGATTCCTTGTTTGAGCCTGAGAACTCCTCTGAAACAGCAAGAAGCTTGAGGTTCTAGTTAGCACTCTGGTCTTAACTAAAGTAGGCTTTGTAGTGTGAAGTGAAGAGCAGAAGTTTTTATAAGTTAGACTTCTTTATTTATTATGCTTTAGGTGAAAGTTTAAAGAGCAAATTAGTTTCTCATTCAACAATTTATACACAAATTGTTTCGTGACATTGGTTGCAATCCTCCCAATGTGTCAACACTCTCACCTTCTCTACTGCAGATTCTCCATTTCCATTTGTCCCATTTTCCTGTTCCTTCCTGCCTTCTTGTCTTTACTTTGGGGCAGGTGTTGCCCATTTGGTCTCATTTACATGGCTGAGCTAAGAGGCATGTTTCTCATGTGTGTTATTGTTTGTTTTACAGACTTGTGTAATCTTTGGCTGAAGGGTGAACTTTAGGAGTGACTTAAGCTCTGAGTTAAAAGGGTGTCTGGGTGCCATAGTCTCGGGGTTCCTCCAGTCTCTGTCAGAAACTAAATCTGGTCTTTTTTTGAGAATTTGAATTTTGTTCTACATTTTTCTCCAGCTCTTGTCTGGCACCCTCTATTGTGATTCCTGTCAGAGCGGTAGGTGTGGGTAGCCCGTCACCATCTAGTTGTTTTGGGCTTAGGCTGGTGGAGGCTGTGGTACCTGTAGTCCATTAGTCCTATGGACTAACATTTCCCATGTGTTTTTGGTTTTCTTCTCCTTTGCTCTGAACGGGATGGGACCAGTAGATGTATCTTAGATGGCAACTCACAAGCTTTTAAGACCCCAGACACTCACCAAAGTTGGATGGAGAACATTTTCTTTATGAACTACGTTATGCCAATTTACCTAGATGTCCCCTGAGACAATGGTCCCCAGCTCTCAGCCTAGTAACTCTATACCTCAGGGTGTTTGAATGTGTCTATGAAATTCTATGACTTTGCCTTGGTCATGTTGTGCTGACTTCCCCTATATTGTGTGTTGTCTTTCCCTTCACCAAAGTTACCACTTACCTGCTATCTAGTTAGTGATTTCCCCTCCCCACCCTTGTAATCATCAAAGATTGTTTCTTTCTATGTGTAAACCTTTTCTTGAGTTTTTATAACAGTGGCCTCATACAGTATTTGTCCTTTTGTGATTGACTTATTTCACTCAGCTTAATGCCCTCCAGATTCATCCACTTTGTGAGATATTTTGCAGATTTATCATTGTTCTTTATCGTTGCATAGTATTCCATTGTGTGTATGTACCATAGTTTGTTTATCCATTCATCTGTTGATGGGCACTTAGGTTGTTTCCATCTTTTTGCTATTGTGAATAATGCTGCAATGAACATGGGTGCACATACGTCTATTCTTGTGATGGCTCTTATTTCTCTAGGATATATTCCTAGGAGTGGGATTGCTGGATCATATGATATTTCTATTTCTAGCTTTTTGAAGAGGTGCCATATCATTTTCCATAGGGTTTGTACCATTTTACATTCCTACCAGCAGTACACAAGAGTACCAATCTCCCCACAACCTCTCCAACATTTGTTATTTTCCATTTTATTGATTCATGACAGTAATGTTGGAATGAGATATTATCTCATTGTAGTTTTGATTTGCGTTTCTCTAATGACTAGTGATGGCAAGCATTTCTTTGGTGAAGTGTCTGTTGATATCCTTTGCCCATTTTTTAATTGAATTATTTGTCTTTTTATTGTTATGGTGTTGCAGTATCTTACAGATTTTAGAGATTAGACCCTTGTCAGATATGTCATGGCCAAAAATTTTTTCCCAATTGGTAGGTTCTCTTTTTGCTCTTTTGGTGAAATTTTTTGATGAGCATAAGTGTTTAATTTTTAGGAGATCCCAGTTATCTAGTTTATCTTCTAGTGTTTGTTCATTGTTAGTTATGGTTTGTGTTATAGATTGAATTGTGTCCCCCTAAAATGTGTGCCAACTTGGCTAGGCCATGATTCCCAGTATTGCGTGATTGTCCACCATTTTGTCATCTGATGTGATTTTCCTATGTGTTATAAATCCTACCACTATGATGTTAAGAGGTAGGATTAATGGTGGTTATGTTAATGAGGCAGGTCTCAATCTACAAGATTAGATTGTGTCTTAAGTCAATCTGTTTTGAGATATAAAAGAGAGAAGTGAGCAGAGATACAGGGAGACCTCATACCACCAAGAAAGAAGCACTGGGAGCATAGTGTATCCTTTGGACCCGGGGTCTTTGTGCTGAGAAGCTCCTTGACCAGGGGGAGATAGATTACAAGGACCTTCACCCAGAGCTGACAGAGACAGAAAGCCTTCCCCTGGAGCTGGCACCCTGAATTTGGACTTCCAGCATCCTAGACTGTGAGAGAATAAATTTCTCTTTGTTAAAGCCATCCATTATGGTATTTCTGTTATAGCAGCATAGATGACTAAGACAGTTTGTATCCTATTTATGCCAATATTAGGTCCCCTAGCCTCCTCAAAGTAGAGTCGACCTTAATGACATGGATGGAGTCAGCCTTTCGGGACCTTCATTTGCTGTTGTGGCACGATTCAAAATGAAAAGAAACAGCTGCAAACATCTATTAATAATCAGAACCTGGAATGTACAAAGTATGAATCTAGGAAAATTGGAAATCGTCAAAAATGAAAGGGAATGCATAAAGATCGATATCCTAGGCATTAGTGAGCTGAAATGGACTGGTATTGGTCATTTTGAATTGGATGATCATATGGCCTACTATGCCGGGAATGACATCTTGAAGAGGAATGGTGTTGCGTTCATCAGCAAAAAGAACATTTCAAGATCTATCCTGAAGTACAGTGCTGTCAGTGATAGGATAATATCTATATGGCTACAAGGAAGACTACTGAATACAGCTATTATTCAAATTTATGCACCAACCACTGAGGCCAAAGTGAAGAAATTGAAGATTTTTACCAACTTCTGCAGTCTGAAATTGATCGAACATGCACTGATAATTACTGGTGGTTGGAATGTGAAAGCTGGAAATGAAGAAGGATCAGTAGTTGGAAAATATGGCCTTGGTGATAGAAATGATGCCAGAGATTGTATGATTGAATTTTGCAAGACCAGTGACTTCTTCAGTACAAATAACTTTTTTTCACCATTTAAACGGTGACTATACACATGGACCTTACCAAATGGAATACACAAGAATCAAATCGACTAAATCTGTAGAAAGAGATGATGGAAAAGCTCAGTATCATCAGTCAGAACAAGGCCAAGGGCCGATTGCAGATCAGACCATCAATTACTCATATGCAAGTTCAAGTTGAAACTGAAGAAAGTTAGAACAAGTCCACGAGAGCCAAAGTACGACCTTGAGTATATCCCACCTGAATTTAGAGACCATCTCAAGAATAGATTTGAGGGGTTGAACACTAATGACTAAAGACAAGATGAGTTGTGGAATGACATCAAGGACATCATACATGAAGAAAGCAAGAGATCATTAAAAAGACAGGAGAGAAAGAAAATACATAAATGGATATCAGAAGAGACTCTGAAACTTGCTCTTGAACATTGAGTAGCTAAAGTAAAAGGAAAAAATGATGAAGTAAAACAGCTGAAAAGAATATTTCAAAGGGCAGCTTGAGAAGACAAAGTATTATGATGACATGTGCAAAGACCTGGAGTTAGAAAACCAAAAGGAAAGAACAAAATTAGCATTTCTCAAGCTGAAAGAACTGAAGAAAAAATTCAAGCCTTGAGTTGCAATACGGAAGGATTCTGCGGGGAAAATATTAAACGACGCAGGAAACATCAAAAGAAGATGGAAGGAATACACAGAGTCACTATACCAAAAAGAATTGGTCAACGTTCAACCATTTCAGGAGGTAACATATTATCAGGAAACGATGGTACTGAAGGAAGAAGTCCAAGCTGCACTGAAGGCATTGGCGAAAAACAAGTCTCCGGGAATTGACGGAATACCAAGTGAGATGTTTCAACAAATGGATGCAGCACTGGAAGTGTTCACTCATCTATGCCAAGAAATTTGGAAGACACCTACCTGGACAATCGACTGGCAGAGATCCATATTTATGCCTATTCTCAAGAAAGATGATCCAATCGAACGCGGAAATTATTGAACAATATCATTATTATCACTTGCAAGCAAAATTTTGCTGAAAATCATTCAAAAGTGGCTACAGCAGTATATCAACAGGGAACTGCCAGCAATTCAAGCCAGATTTAGAAGAGGACATGGAACCAGGGATATCATTGCGATGTCAGATGGATCCTGGCTGAAAGCAGAGAATACCAGAAAAATGTTTACCTGTGTTTTATTGACTATGCAAAGGGCATTTGACTGTGAGGATCCTAACAAATTATGGAAAACATTGCAGAGAATGGGAATTCCAGAACACTTAATTGTGCCCATGACGAATCTGTACGTGGATCAAGAGGCAGTCGTTTGAACAGAACAAGGGGATACTGCATGGTTTAAAGTCAGGAAAGGTGTGCATCAGTGCTGTATCTTTTCACCATACCTATTCAATCTGTATGCTGAGAAAATAATCCGAGAAGCTGGACTATATAAAGAAGAATGGGACGTCAGGATTGGAGGAAGACTCATTAACAACCTGCGCTATGCAGATGACACAACCTTGCTTGCTGAAAGTGAAGAGGACTTGAAGCACTTACTGATGAAGATCAAAGACC